TGGCAACTGAAAAACACTTCACATTACTAAAATTTGCTTCCACCATGTAAAGTGTTGGTACTGCTGAATCTCAGCTTTTCCCTTTTTCCTCCATGGATAATATTCTTTGCTCCAAGATCCTCATGCACCTCTAACCTTTTTGTTTTCTCATTCTATGGTTCCCCTGTCTTCACACACCCCACACACACACACACACACACACACACAACAAAAACCACACACACACACAACACACACCCACCCGCACGCACGCCGCACACACCCCCACACACCAACACACACAAATTTTTAAATGCGGTTTAGACGGTCTACAAAGAACCGGGACAGGTGGATCTGGTCCAGCAGCGGGCCCTGAATTAACCCCGCCAAATGCAAAAGTCTAAAGATGGGGAAAGGGGAAAAGAAGACCGCAGACAGAGTATAGGGGCTCTGGTGGGCCTGGTGGAAAAGCTCTCACTTCAGAGGTAGGGCCTGGTTCGTTTCCCGCCAGGTTAGGACCTTTAGACTTGTTTCTTTACACCGTTGTCTGGGTTCCCCATCTAAATGGTCCCCGGGGTGTTAGTCGACGGGTGTGGGTTGATCCTGAGACACTGCCCAAATTTTTTTCCCCAAAATGCTCAGCAAAAAAGGGGGTTTTTTTTATAGGTATGACTGATGTCAGCTGGGCCCTGTATACCATGTGCATAACGTACTTGTAGTAAATAATGATTTTAAATGTTAATTTATTTTTTATTTTAATTTTTTTATTTTTTATTTTTTGACATTGATACGGAAAATACAAAGGAAACTTTATTAAAGTGAAACATGCCAAAGCCCCTTGATAGAGCTTTTGGGGCAGGCTTAAATTAACAAAGATAATATTAGGGGGCCAAGACCCCAAACCCACCAAGGAGAAAGATCTAGGGGTGAGTTAATACCGAGCATTCCCCGGAAGCACACTTTAAAACCAAAAACGCTAGGGCATATGATGCCTGGCAAACCTGATAATCTTTCCCAATACCTCATTAGGAATTTTTTTAGACTCTATACATGTGTTTTCGGGGCCCCATCGGGTCACAGCAACAGTTTGGAACCCCACCGGGTAAAAGCACAAAAAAAAAATTAGAGAAAGTGAAAAGGGTTTTCAACAAAGGCGGGTTCCAGGGGGGGGAAATGCCAGAAAAAGGAAAGGGAAAAATCGGCCTGATACACTGAGGACAAGGGGGTCAGGGAGACATGATAACGACATACAAAATCTGCATGGAATAGATAAGGGGGACGAGAAGGAGTTCCAGAGACAGGACAAAAAAAGGGGGAAAAATTGGGGAAGTTAAAGACCAATGAGTCAAGGGGGAGTTAGGAAGTTTTTTTCTGCACAAGTTGTTGGGAATTTGGGAAATAGTCGGCAATGTGTAGTGGACAGGAACCAACTTAGTTTTAAAATGGGGTATGATAAAGCTCATGGGCAGGGAGAGGGAGGTCCCAGTGCAGTCAGTGAAGGGGCGGGCCACAAGCTGGTTCGCCCCCTGCAACCCTTTAGGTGAATTGGTGGTACGTACACACACACCACAAAACACACACTCACCACACACACACACACCCCAACCCCACACAACAAAACACACACAGCACACACACACATGCACACACACACGCACACACACGACACCACCAAAAACACACACAAACACCAGAAAAATTTATACAAGAAAAGGGGGTTACTACCCCTTCCCCCCGGGGAATTTTAATTTTCCCTTATAATCTGGTTTTAGAGGAAGAATCTTTTCCATTTCCCATATATATTATATATATATATATTAATTTATATATATTATATATATATTTTATATTATATAAAAACATTATAATTATTAATAATATATATTATATATATGTATGTATGTAATATATATTATAAAATTTTATAAAATATAAAATTATTTTTATAATTTTTATATATATATATAAAAATATATTGCAAAACAACCACCTGAAAGAAGAGAAATTCAAGCGTTCGTGCTAAAACATTATCATTCCTTGATAATGTGATAGTCAAAAAAAGCGGGGGAATTTCTCTTTTCTTTTCGAGGGGTTGTTTTGCTATTCTGAAACACCTTTTTACTGTGATTTTTTGCATATAATATTACGTGGACCCCCGCATAGCGGACGCCTATAGCAAAATCCGCTAGGGGCCCTTTTTTCCCTAAAATTTTTTGGCCCCGCAAGGGGGACAAAAACCCGTCAGGGGCCTTCGCCGGACCGCCCAAATGTGCGCCCTCAGCCACCTCACATGTGCCGCCTGTGCCATTGTTTCCCACCCGCCTCCGGGGTAACTTAAGCATACAGGGAATATTTCGTATTTTTACTGTTTTCAGTGCTGTTTCGGAAAATAAGTCCGGGCCCCCAAGAAAGTTCTTTTCCAACCCTACAGCAATAAGGGTTAGGATTCCTATTGAAAAAAGAAAAATCATTGATAATATGAAAGTGGAGTACGTTCCCCGACCGGGTCAGGTTTACAAGAAACCAAAAAAAAACCATCTCTTCTATTGTGGCAAAAAAAAGGGCAATAAAGGGAAGTGTTGTTGCCAAAGGTTTAACTGTGTTTTCGAAACAAAGATGAAAGTGTTTGGAAGATGTTGAGAACCCCTTTGGTGTGGATAAATAAAAAAACAGTAGCAGGAGAAGCGTCCCCAAG